TGTCTGAAACATTTTTCAAAATAACCACTTCCTTTGCTTTAAAATGGGGTGTACGGGTGGTCTGAAACACCCGGTATATATATATATACACAAGGTGATCCCAAAAAACCTTCCGTCTTTAAAATGACATATTCCTGACACTATTCTAAGACAATTTTTTCTTTACCAAAATTTGATTTGAAGCGTAGTTTTTGAGTTATAAGCAAAAATAGTTAATAAATCACGCGTCGGGTACAGAAGACAGGCAGGAGCGGCCCGGCGCGCCGCGAGTGCGGGCGCAGCTGATCGCCCGACAGGTGATTACCACTGCATGAGTCACTAACTATTTTATCTTATAACATAAAATTATGCTTTAAATATAATTTTGGCAAAGAAGATGTCTTAGAATTACATCAGGAATACGTGTTCCTTAAAATAATGTTAATTATTAAAAGTTATTCCGGATCGCCGACCGTCGAACGCTGTAATCAGCTGATTGCTACACGCGATGTGTGTATGGCGGAGTGTGTGCGTAAAAGAGAGAGAGAGGGGGAGAGAGTAAGAGGGACAGACATTCAAACACACGCACGCACGTACGCATACACTTTTTTCTCTCTCTCTTTCTCTCTTTTACAACACTCATACACTCTGTCATTCAGTCACTCATTCTCTCACTCACTCACTCACTCACCTGCTTACTTATTGCTCACTTACTTTGTAGCAGCGTAGCGAATCTTCATACTACGTATTGTTGTTAACTGCTGCACGGTTATGATTGTTAGAGATGCGCGACACATCGAAACTTTTTCGCTTCGAGACACTCTTACACTCGATTGATTGCACAGATTACGCGATAACGAGTTTACTGTTTATTCACTCACTCGATTCACATCGTTTTATCGATACCAAAAATTACTTTAAAAGAAACGCGAAGGCAAAGAGCACATGACTCGACGCGAAGCGACGGACCGCGGAGACTGCGCAACCACAAAGATTATGTTGCCAGAAATGACTCGTGATTAACGCGAGATAAGACGAACGATCGGCTAAAACCTTCACATTGCGAATGCGATAGAAAACAGGAAATGTATAATGACATACTTAAAAAAATTATTTATTATAAATAATAACTATTTCTAATCATAATAAATAATTATTATTTTAAGAAGATGTGTAAACGTTATTACATTTTCAAAACTATGTATTCGCAATGCGAAGGTTTTAGCCGATCGTTCGTCTTATCTCGCGTCAATCACGCACCACCCGCAAGTCGTTTATTGTTAGATGTCACGTGTCGCGTTTCTGGTAACATAATCCTTGTGGTCGCGCAGTCTCCGCGGTCCGTCGCTTCGCGTCGAGTCATGTGCTCTTTGCATTCGCGTTTCTTTTGAAGTAATTTTTGATATCGATAAAACGATGTGAATCGAGTGAGTGAATAAACAGTAAATCGTTATCGCGTTATCTCGTTATCGCGTAATCTGTGTCAATCGAGTAAGACTGTTTCGAAGCGAGAAAGTTTCGATGTGTCGCGCATCTCTAACAATCATAACCGTGCAGCAGTTAACAACAAGTGAGTAAGCAACGCTGAGTGAGCAAGTGAGTAAGCAGGTGAGTGAGTGAGTGAGTGAGAGAATGAATGACTGAATGACAGAGTGAATGAGTGTTGTAAAAGAGAGAAAGAGAAAAAAGTGTATGCGTACGTGCATGCGTGTGTGTGAATGTCCGTCCCTCTTACCCCCCCCCCTCTCTCTCTGTCTGTAATCAGCTGATTACAGCGTTCGACGGGCGGCAATCCGGAATAACTTTTAATAATTAACGTTATTTTAAGGAACACGTATTCCTACTTATAAGACATTTTCTTCCTTACCAAAATTTTATTTAAAGCATAATTTTATGTTATAAAATAAAATAGTTAGTGACTCATGCAGTGGTAATCACCCGTCGGGCGATCAGCTGCGCCCGCGCTCGTGGCACGCCGGGCCGCTCCTGCCTGCCTTCTGTACCCGACGCGTGATTTACTATTTTTGCTTATAACTCAAAAACTATGCTTCACATCAAATTTTGGTAAAGAAAAAATTGTCTTAGAATGGTGTCAGGAATACGTCATTTTACACACGAAAGGTTTTTCGGGATCATCCTGTATACATATAATCATATATACAGGGTGGCCCATTTTAATTTCTCCAGCCAAATATTTCGGAAAATAATGAAAAATCAAAAAAATGTTTCAGACAAAAGTTGTATGGTTTCTAGGGAGACATAAGATGGTACCATTGGTTTGACCTTGAAGAGTTATTTGAAGGTCACATGAAGGTCACTTTCAATTTCTTAAATGGAACCTACATTTTCTCATTACATATTCTTGTAGCTTATCTCGAGAGCTTTCCAAAACACTATAATAAAATATTTTTTTATTGAGTACTTTTCGAGTTATGAGGCTTGAAATCATTTCTTAATTTAACATAAACCGTAATATATCTAGTAAAATATTCATTTTTCGATTATCTTGCTTTAATATTAATTTTATGTACAAAATAATAAGATATTTAATTTTATGTACAAAATAATAAGAGAAATCAATTGGTGTAAAAAAAACACATAGTTGTTTCAAAGAAAAAATATGTAATTGTTAATTGCAAATTACATATTTTTTCTTAAAAATAACTATGTGTTTTCTTTACACCAATTGATTCCTCTCATTATTTTGTACATAAAAGTATTAAAGCAAGATAATCGAAAAATGAATATTTTACTAGATATATTAGGGTTTATATTAAATTAAGAAATGATTTCAAGCCTCATAACTCGAAAAGTACTCAATAAAAAAATATTTTATTATAGTGTTTTGGAAAGCTCTCGAGATAAGCTACAAGAATATGTAATGAAAAAATGTAGGTTCCATTTAAGAAATTGAAGGTGACCTTCATGTGACCTTCAAATAACTCTTCAAGGTCAAACCAATGGTACCATCTTATGTCTCCCTAGAAACCATACAACTTTTGTCTGAAACATTTTTTTGATTTTTCATTATTTTCCGAAATATTTGGCTAGGGAAATTAAAATGGGCCACCCTGTATATAATATTTTCTGTTCATTGTTAAAAAAATAAATTTTAATATGTATCATGTCACGCAAAGATTTCTGTAATTTATCACAGCGCCAAAAACGAAGAATTGTATTACGCGAAAGTAATTTATTAAATGTTTTTGGCCAAAGTATTAAAAAAACATGCACAGAGGAAATAAATAGTGCAATAACTATTAATGATTGTAATTTAGAAAATGACAATGCAAGTATTAATAATAATTGTAATGATATAAGTTCTACTTTTAATGAAAGTGAATCAGATGCTACTGACAATTTTCACAGTTTATCATCAGATGACACCTTAAATATTGAAAATTACTTGCACGATGATTTAAGATGTTGGGTTACGAAACACAATATTAGTCAGAGTGCCGTAAATGATATCCCCAAAAACTTACCTTTTTAAAAAAAGGTAAAAAAAGGGCGCCAAGTTGCACTAATTGTATCCAACTGTCATATTGTCTACAAAAATAGTGATATAAAAAAATTGCGCCAACTAAGAATAAAAATTTGTACAAGATAAATAGTAAAAAAAATTTTAATTAAAAAAACTTGGCGCTGCCAATTTTATTAATAAATTGTTCAGCTTAAAAGTCTAAATTTACAAATCCAGAAGATCTTAAGAGAATTAATAATAAATGTCCAGCAATTATATTTGCTGTTAAACATATATTTAATTGGAATATATGTCAATTTTATTGGCAGCGCCAAGTTTTTTTAATTAAAATTTTTTTTACTATTTATCTTGTACAAATTTTTATTCTTAGTTGGCGCAATTTTTTTATATCACTATTTTTGTAGACAATATGACAGTTGGATACAATTAGTGCAACTTGGCGCCCTTTTTTTACCTTTTTTTAAAAAGGTAAGTTTTTGGGGATTATATCACTTCTTTTTTTAGTCTAATTTGCTAAGAGATATTATATTAAAAAAAGTATATATATATATATATATATATACATATATATGTATACTCTTTTAATATATAAGCAAATTATATAAAAATATATATAGAATAAGTATATATAATATACATTTTATATATATATATATATATATATATATATATATATATATATATATGTTCGAAATGCGTAATCAATCATCTCAATGTAAAATTTCGCGTTGCTAAAATCCGTATTTCAAATCTAACGGGCATCGAGAACTTTCTCGAGCCTTCGTTCGGTAAACAAAAACTCGAACGTTCGAGTCACCGCTCGTTTTTTGCACCGCCTAAAACCGCTTGAAATTAAGCGGTTGACAATAACATTGTCAACCGCCGTCAAACTAAAACAACATACGGGCATGCGCGCCCATACGTCACGATCAGCTGATGGCCAATCAGCTGATCGAAAAGGGTCGTGCGCATGGCAAACGTCACAACGCTATTTCCTGACCTCATCGGCGGCCAATTATGCGTGGCGCCATGAGGTCACCGCCAAATTTCAAAGTTAATTGGGCCACGTCGCAACGGGGCCCAAAATCCGCCCGGTATATAACGAGCCCAGCGAGAGGGCACGAGGAAGTCTCGCACTTTTCGCTTTCTATACTGCTTAATCTCACCGCTCACTTAAACCGCAAAATATTATACGTCAACCGCTATTCTTCTCGGACTTTGATTTTCCGCACGCTCGATCTATCACGCCGCTCGCGATCTCCCGCGAGTTTAACCGCTTCGCTTGTCGCACCGCTCGTTGCACTGTACACTTGTCACGTTGAACTCGAATAAACTGTCGTTTTGTGTGAATATCACGAGTTTCACTGCACTGGCCTATCCTCCACGTTCGCGCAATCTCTTGCCGGATCCGCTCGCGAACATTTCTGGTCCTTCGAGCCGGATATTACCATCATCCGCGTCCGCTGTTTCGTGAGTGATCCTCTCGTGCAGTTTGTGGAGTGAAGTGACCTCTGAAAAGACAAAAGAGATATTAGACATGAGTGCTGAAGTGAAGGTGCTGCTGGAAGCGCAGCACGACATTCATGGTTGGATCTCCCGCGCCGTGGACAATCTGAGGAAGATGGGCGTGAGCAACATCACCCGCGACGCCATCCAAGCTCGCCTCGGCATCCTGGACAATCTCTGGCAAAAAATGGAGACCCAGCATGAGCTCATTCGTGCGGCGCTGAAGGACAAGTATCAGGAGAGTGAGTACGCTGTATCTGATTTTATTGAAGTCGCGGAGAATACTTACGTGACACAACGTAGCACGCTGACCAGCTACGCTGAGAAGCTTAAGGGCGAAACGCCCGCCGCGCTCAGAGGCGAGCCGGACCACGCTCGGGCTCCTAAAACCTCGTTGCCGCGCATCAAGCTTCCGACGTTTGCGGGATCTTACGAAGAATGGCCGTCATTCCGCGACCTCTTCCAATCAGTCATCGGGGCGAATGAGTCAGTCTCCGACATCGAGCGATTTCACTACCTCCGGTCTTGTGTCAAGGGAGCCGCTGAAAAATTGATAAAATCATTAACGGTGACCGGTGATAATTACCATCGCGCTTGGACGATTTTGAGCAAGCACTTCGAAAACAAAAGGGAGCTTATCCGTTCTAATTTCGCCGCGTTCACCTCCGTTCCCAAAATGAAGTGCGAGTCAGCGGGAGAACTCGGTCGCATTCACAACGCCGTAACGACCGCGGTGAACGCGCAGGAGAGTATAGGGAGACCCATCAACTCCCACGGTATGGATCTCCTCAATTTTCTCACCGTCGAATTGTTCGATTCGCGTACACGGATGGAATGGGAGTCCTCGACCTGCGACTCCACTGATCCGCCAGACCACGGCGCTCTCGTCAACTTCATCGCTAAGCGCATTCTCACGCTAAACGCCGCTAGGCCACGAGTGTTGCAACCAAACTCCGATGGCGCGTCGCGAACCGCGAAAGCTCACCACACGAAGACCGGATCCGATCACTTGAAGTGCGCACTGTGCCAGGGGAAGCACACCCTCATGCAGTGTAACGACTTCAAGGCAAAGTCCGCGATAGACCGAAAGTCCTTTGTAGAGCAAGGTAGACTGTGCTACAACTGTCTCGGGAACCACATGATCTCCAAGTGCCAGTCTGTGAAGACCTGTCTGACGTGCAAGGGCAAGCACCACACTACACTGCACGACGCGTACACGTCGCCCTCCTCCAACGAGGTGAACGCCCTGTCTGCGATGCACTCCTCGTCTGAGCGTAAAGCGATCCTCCTCGCGACAGCTCGCGTGCACCTCACTGACCGCGCCGGGGATCTTCATCCGGTCCGAGCGATGCTCGATCAAGGATCCGAGGTGTCGATCATCTCCGAAGCACTGGTCCAACGGCTGAGACTTCCCCGCTCCCGCTCCTCAGTGTCCATAATCGGCATCGGCGAATCACGATCCGGGTCAACCCGCGGGAGAGTGGCACTCAGTCTCTCCTCGATGATCACCGGAGCCAAACTCAAGGCCGTCGCTTTCGTGTTATCGCGCCTGTCGGCCTATCAAGGTTCTTCGGTGAAGAACCTCCCCTCCTGGCCTCACGTTCATGGTCTTGAGCTCGCCGACCCCAGGTATCAGGAGCTCGATCCGGTAGAACTATTGTTGGGCGCGGAAGTCTGCTCAACCATTCTTGAAGTCGGCCTTCGCAAGGGTAGTCCTCAAGATCCCATCGCCCAGAAAACAGCCCTGGGATGGATCCTGTCAGGGGGGTCCAGCGCAGCACCCTTCCAAGGACCCCGTAACTCCTTGCAGTGCACTGTCGACCAAGAGCTCAATCAGCTTGTGCACAGCTTTTGGGAGCAGGAAAGGGAACTCCCCTCCTCCGGTGCCCTTAGACCGGAGGATCAAGAGTGCGAGACCCTCTTCATAAGTACTCACCAGCGGATGGCGTCCGGAAGATACGTAGTACGACTCCCGTTTTCTTCCCCGCCAACGTCGCTAGGTGGAACCCGTAAACCGGCTGAAAGTCTCTTGTCAGCGATGGACCTTCGGAGCAAGAGAGATCCTGAGTTCGGCATCCGGTATCGGGAGTTTATGCAGGAGTACGAGGACCTGAAACACATGAGTCCTGTGAATACGGTCGGTACCGCAGGATGCTACCTACCTCACCACGGAGTCCTCCGCCAGTCCAACTCCTGCAGCAAGCTCCGCGTCGTCTTCAACGGGTCGCAACGTACCGCCTCGGGGGACTCCCTCAACCGACATCTGCTGATCGGCGCCAACTTGCTGCCAGCACTAGCTGATGTCCTCCTTCGCTGGCGCCGGCACCGCTTCGTGTTCGTCACCGACATCGAGAAGATGTTCCGGCAGATACTCGTCCACCCTGAAGATCGTTGCTTCCAGCGGATACTCTGGCGTCCAAAGGCTTCCGGCAAGATTCAAGAGTACGAGCTGAACACCGTGACCTACGGGCTCGCCTGTGCTCCGTTCCTCGCTGTCCGCACTCTCCACCAACTGGCGGCCGACGAGGAGGCACGAGCCCCAAAGGGAGCAACCGCTCTGCGCCATGACTGCTACATGGACGACGTGATCACCGGGTCGGACACCTTGCAGCACGCGGTCGCCCTGCAGACGGAGCTCCGAGAGCTCTGCACGGCGGGCGGGTTTCCGCTGCGGAAATGGGCCGCCAATAGCGAGGCCATCCTTGAGGGTGTTCCTTCCGATCATCGACTCAAACAGGCACACCATTCCTGGGAGAGCGAGGTACACTCCACCTTAGGCCTGCGTTGGCATCCAGCCAGCGACGACTTCTCCTTCGCCATCCAGCCTCGAAGCACTGGCGAATTCACTAAGAGGCGAGTCCTGGCGGAAACGGCACGGCTATTCGACCCCTTGGGATGGCTCGCTCCTGTGATCATCCGCGCCAAGATCTTAATCCAGTCAGCATGGTTGAAAAGGCTGGACTAGGACTCTCCGCTCCCAGCGGAGGACGCTCAGTCTTGGCAGCGCCTCCTCTCCGAGCTCCATTTGCTGGAGCACCTCCGAATAAGGCGCTGGCTGGGTGTCATTCAACAGGATCCGACGGTCGAGATCCACGGCTTCGCCGACGCGTCTGAGCGTGGATACGCGGCCGTCGTCTACCTTCGCGTGTCCAGTACGGAAGAGACGTCCATCCACTTACTGGCCGCGAAAAGCAAGGTCGCGCCGATTAAGCCCGTGACGCTCCCACGGCTGGAACTCTGCGCTGCCTCCCTGCTGACCAATCTCGTTCACCACCTCCGGTCATCACTGGAGGTGTCGGCGCCAGTATATCTCTGGTCCGACTCCAAGGTTGTCCTCCACTGGATCAAGGGTCATGCTTCACGATGGAAAACCTACGTGGCCAATAGAGTGTCGCTGATCCAGGAGCGGCTCCCCGAAGCGCAGTGGCGACACGTCCCGGGTCAAGAGAATCCTGCCGATTGTGCTTCCAGAGGGATCGCTCCGAGGGATCTGCTGAACCACCCCCTATGGTGGCAGGGCCCCGGCTGGCTTCTCGGCGACTCGTCACTATGGCCAGCCAGCGACGAGGCATCAATGGTCAGCGTTCCTGAAACAAAAACCACGGTATTAACGGCCATCAGCAAGATCAGACCGGAGCCTGAAATACTCCTACAGTTCTCAACACTGCATAGGCTCTTACGTGTCTCTGCTTGGTGCCTTCGTTGGCGCCGGACCGCTCGTCATCCTCCCAGCGTCGCACTGCTCTCGGACGAGCTCGACGCCTCCCTCATTCGCTGGCTGAGAATCGTCCAAGGGATCCACTACGCCGTTGAACTAACCGCCGTACGAGAGTCTCGCCCAGTGCCTCGCGGTAGCCACCTGGCCAGGCTGCATCCATTCATCGACGATGACGGGATCCTGCGCGTCGGCGGCCGCCTGAAACACGCAATACTCACGTACGATGAACGACATCCTATGATAGCGCCGCCCACTTCATGGCTCACCAAGCTCGTGATAGAGTCTTGCCATCGCCGGACGCTTCATGGAGGCACTCAGCTCACTTTGGGGCTCCTTCGCCTCCGCTTCTGGGTGCCGCAAGGTCGAGCCGTAATCAAGCGGACACTGCACCGGTGCGTGACATGCACCCGCTGGCGAGCCCACACTCCACGGCCCCTCATGGCCGACCTCCCTCGGGGGCGAGTCACTCCAGCACGCCCTTTCCTGAGGACAGGAGTCGATTACGCTGGGCCGATATTCCTCCGCACTTCCAAGGGGCGAGGACATCGAGCTCACAAGGCGTTCATAGCCGTGTTCGTCTGTCTCTGTTCCAGAGCCGTCCATCTTGAGGTAGTATCTGACTACTCCTCTGACGCCTTCCTCGCAGCATTCCGCAGGTTCGTTTCCCGTCGCGGACTGTGCGAGGAAATGTACTCGGACTGCGGAACTAACTTCATCGGAGCGGACAACCAACTCCGAGAATTCTTCCGCGCGTCGTCCTCCGACGGCCGTCGCATCTCTCGGGAAGTCGCCAAGGAAGGAATATCCTGGCGCTTCAATCCTCCCGCCGCGCCGCACTTCGGAGGCCTCTGGGAAGCGGCGGTGAAATCCATGAAACATCACCTGCGACGGGTGATAGGAGAGACTACGCTCACCTTCGAGGAGATGAGTACTCTTCTTTCACAAATCGAAGCATGTTTAAATTCTCGTCCATTGCAGGCTTTATCAGATGACCCCGACGACATCACCGCATTGACTCCAGGGCATCTCCTAATAGGCGCCCCTCTACTGGCGGTCCCAGAGCCTTCCCTAGCCGAACGGCCTCCGAACGCCCTATCCCGGTGGCAGCTGCTACAACGAATGCGTGACCACTTCTGGCAGCGATGGTCTCAGGAGTATGTCCACGCCTTGGCACCTCGATCAAAATGGCTCAACTCCGAGCCCGCCCCGGAGGTCGGAACATTGTGCCTCATCCGCTCGGAGATCACCCCGCCTTCCCGATGGCCCCTCGCGCGAATACTCGCCCTGCATCCAGGAAGCGATGGCACGGTCCGCGTTGTGACTGTCCGCACCTCTACCTCGGATCTCGTTCGGCCAGTCGTAAAACTCGTCCTTTTACCGGGAGTCAAGGAGGCTCGCGCGTCCGTAGACGAATAATGCTTGGGCACTATTCTCCCCGCGTTATGTAGAGTCTTGCGCGCCTCACTACATTGTACATATTGTATATATCGTGTATATATTTTTTTTTATTATAGCTGTCCGTCGTCCATCTCGCGTTCTCGCCGCGATTTCCTCATTCGCACATCACTAGTCACCCACTCACTGTACATTGTGCATCCCCGAGCGATGCACAATCGATCTCCATTAGTCATTGCACTTCACATCGCACTACTTCTCATTATTTCACTGTAAATATCACCGTACTTCACTACCGCAACTCTCAGTCTAGCGAAAGATAGAAATCAACTGAACAACACGTGTTGTTATATTGCGTCACACATTCCATTCATCGATCGCGATCCAGATACCGCCAATTGAATCGCTTGCGACATCTGTCCGTCCCCGCTCATACTCGCGAATTTCGTCACGCGCTGACGAGGCGGGCGGGATGTTCGAAATGCGTAATCAATCATCTCAATGTAAAATTTCGCGTTGCTAAAATCCGTATTTCAAATCTAACGGGCATCGAGAACTTTCTCGAGCCTTCGTTCGGTAAACAAAAACTCGAACGTTCGAGTCAGAGAGAACGCTCGTTTTTTGCACCGCCTAAAACCGCTTGAAATTAAGCGGTTGACAATAACATTGTCAACCGCCGTCAAACTAAAACAACATACGGGCATGCGCGCCCATACGTCACGATCAGCTGATGGCCAATCAGCTGATCGAAAAGGGTCGTGCGCATGGCAAACGTCACAACGCTATTTCCTGACCTCATCGGCGGCCAATTATGCGTGGCGCCATGAGGTCACCGCCAAATTTCAAAGTTAATTGGGCCACGTCGCAACGGGGCCCAAAATCCGCCCGGTATATAACGAGCCCAGCGAGAGGGCACGAGGAAGTCTCGCACTTTTCGCTTTCCATACCGCTTAATCTCACCGCTCACTTAAACCGCAAAATATTATACGTCAACCGCTATTCTTCTCGGACTTTGATTTTCCGCACGCTCGATCTATCACGCCGCTCGCGATCTCCCGCGAGTTTAACCGCTTCGCTTGTCGCACCGCTCGTTGCACTGTACACTTGTCACGTTGAACTCGAATAAACTGTCGTTTTGTGTGAATATCACGAGTTTCACTGCACTGGCCTATCCTCCACGTTCGCGCAATCTCTTGCCGGATCCGCTCGCGAACAATATATATAATTAATATATTATATATATTTATATTTAGCTTGTAAAATAGATATATATATTTATTTACCTTACTCCAATTATCATACCGTACTGGCTCTTGCCAATTTTTAATTAATAATTTAATTATTTATTATTTATAACTTGCACTTTATCACTACTCAAAATGCGGTTAATGATACATGTCACTAATGACCCATATGACACATGTCATTAATATCGAAAAGCGTCGCTAGCGCAATCTTCTGTCGAGAGTAGGAAAAGGACATTTTCGCTTTCTATGTGTTGTGTACATATGCGTGGACGACGACCATGATGATAATGATAAAGACGTTTCTTAATTAAAAATTTTCATATTTCGACTTTGCATTATGATATCTCCGTTAATAGATCACGCAGCGCAAAAAGAAAGATACTTTCTTTATACAATTCAAACTCGCTCTATCGAGTAAGACTAGTAAGAATTCGATCCGTTCAGCCGTTATTGAAATCCGATAATCTAAGTTACTCTCAACTGTCCGACTCGCGTATAGATACACGGTGTGCCGCGCAATGCTTCGCATGAACTTGGCGCGAGACACTACCGTCTCTTGATATTACGAATTTTGTTAAGAAATAATTTGAGTGTTCCAGTCGAACATTAATAAAAACTCCACGTAATACATTTTCAGAAATAATAAAAATGAATGACGGAAAATATATTCATTTTGGACTTAAAGAAGGTTTAAAACATTCGATTAAAATACATTTTCAAACATTATTGTATCCAATAGAGATAATTGAAACTAAATATTAATATCGATGGTTTGCCTATTACAAAAAGTACGAGTAGTCAATTTTGGCCTATCTTAAGTGCTTAGTTGCAAACTTTTACACAGAACCATTCGTTATAGGCATTTATCATGGCAATTCGAAACCACAAGATGTCGATGTTTTTCTAAAGCCGTTTGTAGACGAAGCAAAACTCATTCTTGATTCCGTTTGAATATTAATGGGGGAATTATTCGTATTAAATTTAATGCTATAATATGTGATGCTCCAGCAAAATCTTTTGTTTGTGGTATTAAAGGTCACACAGGTTATTTCAGCTGCACTAAGTGTATACAAGAAGGTAAATTTATTCACAATAAAGTTGTATTTTTAGAACAAAATTCAATCTTGAGGACGGATCTTTCATTTAAAAGTAGACAGCATAAAGAACATCACGTTGATCAAAATTTAACTAAACCAACTACATATTTTAGAGACTTTAGACATTGGAATGGTTTCGGATGTGCCGTTAGATTGTATGCATCTTATTTTTCTTGGTGTTAATAAAACAATGCTTCGATTTTGGATTAAAGGTCCAATAAATATGCGATTGACTGTTGTTTTATTACATAAAGCCCAAAAACTTAATAGCAAATTGAAAATGTTTATACCCATAGAATTTGCACGTCGTCCAAGGGATTTGCTAGATCTAGATCGTTGGAAAGCAACCGAACATAACCTTTTTGCACTGTATATAGGAATAATTATAATGAAAATTGTATTATCTAAAAAATTATATATACACTTTACATGTCTATGCGTTGCTGTAAGAATTGTATCAGATAAACAATATAAGCATCTGCTTGATTACGCACAATCTCTTTTTGAA